GAAAGTGTCATGGCCGCGTTGTGGGGCAGTGGCCACGAGCTGCCGTGGTAATATGCTCATGACGCATTTGAGCATTTGTATTGCGTCAGCATTTGTGGATTAGTGTTCTGGCATATTGTGTTACTCTTCAAGCGACAGATTCTGCTTGATTTCGCCGTGGAATTCTCGCAAACTGATATTCCTGGACGAATTTGATTTCCTAGGTGCCTGCGGCTTGACGCCTTGCTCGTTTGATGGATCAATTTAGTGACGCTACTGATGCAGGAGCAGGTGCTGAAAGAGAGCAAAAGCTCGTGTGCCTCACAATGGGCATCTTGCCAAAAGTTTGTCTGCTGGCAAAATTTGAGTTGCGACTGTCAGAGTTCGATAGGCAGCCAACCGACGAATGGAGAGTCTTGGCCTGCCTCAACGCGCACAGATGTCCTCTGCTGTTGTTCGCTTGCTTGATTTCTTGATTGTTTGATGGTGTCATTGCTTGCTTGAATGACTGGCTGAATGGAGGGCTGAGATCGACGCATCAACGAGTGCCCGAATGTACTATTTATTGTATCAGGAATACATTGTTGCTCACTGCACATCAGCAATACCTTGTTTCTGTTAAGATGTTGACGCAAAAGGCGAGCAGCAGATTTACTTAAAAGGGTGCTGCGTGCGTCACTGCTGCGGTTGAGATCGGCCTGTGATTTCCTTGCCCAGCTCGAGGAGGACTTCATCAAGGTGAACCCGGAGTGGGTCAAGGAGCTCAAATTGATGCTGCGGACCAAAGAAAAGGCCGAGATTCAGGCGCTGAGCTCCTTCGGTTTCCAGTACCTCAGCCAGGCGTACTTGCCGCTCAAATTGCAAGAAGGGGACTGGATTTGACGCTGACTGGTGCTGTGGCTTGTTGCTGCCGGGGGACCACGCGGAGATGGGCATCTCTTTCGGGTTCAATTTCAGACGCCGCTGTGCGTTTTCGGGGACAGTTTTTTTTTTTTTTTGGCTGCAACTTGTATTATCTCGGACAGTTTCTGGTGGGGGACGTGCGCGCTTGCCCCGCCAATGGACCAATTTTTCCCTTTCTTTGCCTCTACGAAATGCAGGCAGGCGACTGCGTATGTAATGTACTGCAGTGCTACGTATGTAGTGTGGGACATTTCGTGCCAAAGACAGCTCACGGCCGGCTGTCGAATTTCCAAAGCGGGCATCTTATGTTGAGGTTGTTCGTATCATGTTCAGCCAGTGGAACGAGCTGCCTTGTACACTGACGCGGTCCTGGTGGTCACCTGACGCGAGTTTGCACAATCCATGGCCATCACCCTTCCATGACCGGTGTCTGAAGGCCGTCGATCCGCAGGCAACTAATCAGCACCAGGCTGTTGGTAAATATAGTCATGCTCAAGTCCAATTCAGAATTGGAAGTGAACCCCAGCGTGTAGAGTGAGAGTGAGGCTCCACCGGACTCTAAAGCTGCGAACACACCAGATGCGAGAGCTGGTGTAAAGGATCACTTGCTCTTGGCGGTGGAAAGGTGGAGCCGCTTCCAGGCAGTCTCCAAATCACCACATCATCACGCAGAGGGATTAGTCAATTGGTACTTTATGGAGTATGCTCAGTGGTCTTTGTACCAGCAATCGCACAGGCAGCTAGAGCAGCGGTGAATGGCAAAGTTGTGCCTGTGTCGATAAAAGCGGAGCTATTGTGCTGCTCGCTGGCGGCTGACTGCAGCTCATACAATCGCTGAAATTTATTGCAGTTTATTCCTCGCTGGAATTAGCAAACGAAGAGAGTGCAATCTCTATTGGAATTGCTTCAGATCTTGTCGGGAATCGGGCTGATTGCGCTGAGGATAGCAAGCAGGGTCGAGGGGTGGCGACCCCTGACTGGGGACCATAGGCTCGAGTACACGGCAACGGTTTACAGTGGAGCAACGGGACAACAGGAATTATTTCCCTTATGTCTGGTCCGTTCACCAGTGTCCTAATTTGAGCTTCAATTGTCTCATCACCTCTTTATGTGTCCAGCCACTACTAAGAATCGATCAGTTCTGGTTACAACATATCCTCCACAGGGGCATGGCATTGATGAAGGCGGGCAGGGTCGAGGGGTGGCGACCCCTGAATGGGGACCGTAGGTTCAAGCCCACCGCAACGGTTTACAGCCAAGCAAATGGACAACAGGAGTCTGTCCCTTGCATCCAATCCGTTCATCAACGTCCTTGCTGCTATTCCTAGTGCCTCATCACCGCTTTCTGCTTCCAGTTGGTAATAATGCGCAATCAGTGCTAGTCACAGTGGTGTGTCGCGGGCACAATACATTCCAGGCACGGAAATAATATTACTGCCTGCACCAAGTCGGTGACTGCTTGCACCAAATCACGTGCACGCTACGTCCTAACCACAGTTTTAGGGTTAGGTTTAGTTTTAGGGTAAGGGTTAGGTTTAGGGCAGGTTTAGTTTAGGTTTTAGGTTTGGTAAGTTTTGGAGGGAGTTGGTGCAAGCAGTCACCGATTTGGTGCAGCCAGTAACTCAAGCCCCAGGCACGTCCTCTCGCATCCAAGATATGGATGGGATACAGAGAGAGCCCACCACACCACACGAATGGGCTGACCACCGCCCACACAGCCCCACGTGGCCACCACCCATTTACGCCCCCCTGTTCCCTCTCCGCCGTTCCGCCTTTCCCGCCTTGCACCCACGCTCCCCCCCCCACCCCACCCCACCACCTCCCGCGCAATGGCCTTCACGGCACCCCGCAAGGTGTGGCGCCTCGCGTCGCCGCCCCAGCTCCTGTCGCCGCCTTGACAAACCGGCAGCTTGCCCCGCGCGTCGATGCTCGCGTTCTGCCTACTTCGCGCGTGCTTGCCTCTTTCCTGTCGTTGTTGCTCTCCCTTCTGCTTTCTTTGTGCCTGCTTGCTTGTTGCCGTTCTCTTTTATGCCTTCTTCTTTAATTGTTGCTCACCTCCTTCCGCTGGCCGTTCTGCCATGCAGACGCAGGCCTTGGCGGCTGCCAGCGGCCCAAGGGCACCGCGCCTGCCTTCGCGGTTGGGCCGCACGAGAGCTCAGGGCACCGAACGGGAGGTCGAAGTGGACGCTCCTGAAATCTCCTCCTCCAGCGTCGAAAGAGCGGTAGGTGACATTTGCTAGAAGGAGAATGAAGCAGAAAAAGATTTCCTACACGTTGTTGCAACAGAAATGTGCATGTCGTGGTCCGTGCTATTCCCGCAGTACATGACGCACCAAATTGTACCATGGCCGTGTCCAGGGCCGCCCATGTGTCACCCCACTGCTCCCAAAATGTCAAAAGACCACTCCGTGGAACATCGCCACACAGTACATTGGTTCAGGGTGCCTCCCAAGAAAGAGAATGAGAAAAAGGTCACGAAATATGCCAGAAGGAGACAGAGAAACAGGTCGTGCAGAGGGCCCGGTCGATCGGATCTGTTGCTGTGCCTGGGACTTCAAGACTCGGGCATTGAATAGGGCCAGTGTTTTCCATCCGCACAGTGCACTCGTCAGGGACTGTCATAAAGGGTGGGCGCATGCCATGCTCTCGTGCACGGCACATGTTCGTCCTTGCCGTTAGATGGCCGTCGTGAGAAAAGGATTCAGCAGTCGAAATCTCGATCAAATCGATTTTTCGATTGTTTTAATTTGTCAATTATGTCCATTGGGGAAGGGCGACGCTGCGTGCCAGGATGCTTCTCACCCATGGTGTTGTTGCGATTGATGCAGCAAGTCGGATTCCTGGAGTCGGATTCTGCGGGCCAGGTGAATGTGTTCGCCACACAGGTGGGTGCCAGCATTCCCTCCGCCCTATCGCACCCCATTCCCACCCTATTGCTGTTCATGGCACTGTGGTGTGAGCTCCGCTTCTGGAATTGGAGACGCAACAACATCTTTTCAAGGCATGGAAAAGAATCTCATGGTACACTTGCTGGGGAGGGGGGGTACTTTGTGTGATCCAGTACTGTTTTAGGTATAACCAATCTTAACCCTCTTCCCCCGCCTCCTCAAAGCTCTAGCTCCTGATACATCCTTTGATAACTTGACTGCTCAAGTCTGCTGATTGTTTGGTGTGGGCAAGACATTAGCACGCTAAAACAGCGGGGCTTCCAACAGAACAGCACCAACGACAGTCAGAACATTAGAACGGAACAGCTTTAGTCTCTTTGCTGTGTAAGAAGGCATACGACCTCAGGTGCAACGGATAGGCTGTGGTTTTTGTGCTAGGATTGGATGGCTATTTGAATGGTTGTCATCCATGTAGTTCAGCACATTGAGACACTTGGGAGGAGTGATGCTGTGTAGGACGGACTGATCGACCTTGTGGTATGTCCATTGTGCAACATTTGCCGTCACAGGGCACGGTGGAGCGGCAGGGCGATGACAAGCAAGGACACATCCCAACATTTGTCTGTCTCTCGATCTAGTGGCCCTAAGAGCAGCATACTCCTTGCTATTGCTTTTGCACTCATAGACTTCTGCATCATCTTCCAGAGCATTGTGGGGAGAGACTCTATTATTGGTAAATACTTGATCAAGCACATCAAACCAATATGTGCTTGTTGGATACTGTTTGGCCAAATCTGTGCTTGCTTCTTGCTGGAAAAACATCTTCTAAGAAAGTCAGATGAAGACTCGACCAGGCAGGATTGCCCAGTGTGGAACATGTTCTTTGTCTGTCAAAGGCATGCTGCCATTCTGAGCTGCTTGTGTGTGTGCGATTGCAGCCGACGCAGTACGTGCAAGGCTCGGTGCATGATGTGAAGAGCAATTCGGTGGCCCACAACAGCATCGCTGCTGGGGGAGCACTTGTGGGATTCGTCGCCATTGTGCTGGGGATGACAGCATTGACGAGTCTGGGAGATGGTACGCCTGTTGCATTTGCTGTTCTGACATGAGCTGCTCGATTGGTTACGTCTACCTTTTTTGTGGACAACTGTAGTTGCATTGTAGGCTTTGTGCCTAAGATTGCTGTTTCTATTGTACTTTCTTGGGGTTCAGAGTACACAGCGTACCAAAGAGACTATCCTTTGGCAAAAGACTATGGCATAAATAGGATGCCAATTCTATCTTGGATCAAGTTTCTTGTTGTAGTACTGTGGGTGTGAAATGCCTTGTTACTTTGTAACAAATGACATCTTCAGTGCAGCACGTGCCTCCCAGCAGACATGTCACCTGAGCTGAGGCGCAAAACTGCAACGGCTACACTTGTCACAATATGACTAATTATTGGTCTGCCACCTGTTGGGGACTTTGTAGAAACTGGATTTGTTACGCTGTGCCTGTCTGAGGCAATGACACAACTCATGTGCGATTGTTGCTGAATGTGGAACCGAATTGCAAGCAACTCTGCAAGCAATTCCTAACCCAACGTGTTGAGTGATAAACCGTCAGTATGTGCTAAGTCTCAGTAAGGCCTGCACATTGTGAGGAGCTACTTTGAGCTTCAGTGACGTTCCTTGCCTCACGTCAGGGAATGATGCAAGAGCTAAGATGTGTGGCGCATTTCCAACGCTTGGCTTGGTTGGGCTTAAAATGTATTTTGCACAGTAAACTTTATGATCCAACTTGCAGTATTCATACTGGTGGGCTTCTATTCTTCAGTTGCAAAACAGAACAATGCATTGTGCAGGCATTTAAACCAAGGTATCAAGTGGAGGTATCACTTGTATCATTTAAATAAAGGTGACAAGTGCTCTTTAGCATTAACCTCTGTACAGCACAATGGCAGTCGTCTCCATTATTAGTGCTCTGTCCTGTCAATGCACATTCCATAGTTTCGCCGGCACATAGGTGGGCTTCCTAGGTATGGCCTTGATGGAGCACACACATTTCAGGACGCATTCCTCATGCTGTGCATCCTCATTTTGCACCTAGTGTGAAGGCATACCCGACCTCCCAAAGGCACACTCACTTGTGGCATGCACACTGTTCTTGTATTGCCGTTGCTGCTTCTGCACACAGTTGCTCCAGACAGCGTGTTTGGCAACGTGCAGGGGCACCGCTTCCCCCCTGTCAACACTCTGACTGTTTTCCTGTCTGACTAGCCACACTTCCCGCCTCCGAAATTTCTTCAGCTGTTCCCCTCTCGCAGCATTCCGCAAAGTTCACGGCAGAGTTTGGGCACCTTAGCTGTGACAGCACTCTCCCATGCGCACCCACCCCCGCTGGCTGACTGCTCGTGTGTGCTGTTGATCACAGATAGCCATCTGGCACTTTTCGAACTGTATAGTTTGTAGCTGCCTGGGATCATCAACGACTGATGAAACGGATGTGTCGAGGTAACCAGCGCACTCTTTCGACACGACCTTGGATAAGATGCGAACGGGGTGTTGGGACATTCTTTGTATTGTTCTCCATTCTTTCATTTGTGTGGCGGCTGCCCTCAGCACGGGCTAGCCAAGGTGATTGGAAGAGGGTTTGAAGAGGAGTTACAAAGGGTCTGGACAGGGGGGAGTTGAAGCACTGCTTCGCCATTTGTTCAAACTGATTACTGTGCGTTTGAATTTGGAGTCTTTGGGCATTGTCAAACGATCATGAGAGGTGGCGCCATGGGGGATTCTTAGTGCGATGAATGGACGCAACAGCACCGGTGATGTGTAACGATTCAAGGGGCTGTGGTCGATGCTGATGAAGTGGCTGTCTGGCTTGCGCCGGGCTTGTGCCAAGCGCCATCCTTTGCACCGTTCTGCTTGGAGATTTGTTTGCTGCGCAGTGCAGCAGCACGAGTGCAACCTCTCATGGTTCTGCCTGTCTAAGATCTGGCCCATCACGTCTCCAGTGTTCCAGCAGTTTGGGGACAGCGTAGATGGGAACACTGGAGTTTGGGCCCACAATGAGTACTTTCTTCGCGTTCTCAAAATCTCCCCAATTGAAGCTTTGCTGGCAAAAGGCGCTGTTGCCCAGTTGCTTTGGGCACAACAGTCGATGTAGTATTGATGCCGTTGCATTGTGTTGTTGAATGTTAGTCATGAAGCACTGTTAGCTCATAAATTGCTGAGTATGTGTGTGAGCATATCGTATCAGTCTTTGGAGACACTCGGGAAAGGTACATGCGCAGGCCACCTTGCGGACATACCAATCACATCGCCAATTTGCTAAGGACTATCTTGCAACGAGCATAGCTGCTCACAATTAAAGCTCGGCACTGGCCACCCACTACCATCCGTTAACTACTGTACCTTATTTCCGATTTTTTGTCGTACTGTCCATTAAAAGTGAGAACCTGCCGTATTGTCCAGTAATGTGGGTTTGGGGGGGGAGTGTACCGCGTGTATTATTGTGGCCCCGCTGAGTACCGTTGCGGCCACACACGAGGAATGGCACCAGCAGCACGGCAAGCGGCCCTCCGTGGGCACCCCAAGGCTTGCCACGGTGGTGGAGAGCCACAGAGTGGGTGGTTGATTGGCGCCTTGCGGGCTCCCATTCCCACCACCTGCGGTCGCCAGGAGTGGGCGCCCATGAGGTGATGTCTTTTGTCAAAAAAATGGCGCGTTGCAGGCGCCCACTCGCACCACCCGTGGTGGCCAATCGAGGTCCACGCGGGCGGCGGATTGGGCGCCCACAAAGCGCCATTCGTTTGGTATCTGTGCCCACCAAGGTCGCGCGAAATGCCCCCCGGGCGTGTTATGCCGGTGCCCTTCGACTGGGCAGCACAGCAGCCGGCTCTCTCGCAGATGCCCGGCGGAGGATTGCGCGGTTGAGACAAGCCCTCGCGGCCAGAGACCTTCGCGGTCAGTAACCCCAGCGTCGTTACAAAACCCCGTCCAGCCATTTATAGGTCTTCTCTAAATCCATACAGCTCATCGATACGTACAGGTTGCTTGTCAGCATGTTTTCTCACACGTCCCGATAGGTACCTTTCCCTCATCATACTGGCAGCGTCCATTCGAATGAAATCCCGAGAACTCACCCCGAACTCCCTAATCCGTTCCGTCGCTACATTCTGTCCCCACGTACCCGCGTCCATTCCTCTGGGCCAGCCTACCTGGACCCGTCCGCCCGCCGGCGTTCCTGAGGTCCCTACCCAGTAACTCCCCCACTCTCCCGTACCCGCGCTCCGCTACCCAGTCCTCACCTGACCTCCCAACCGATCTCCTAACGCCCCACTCCCTTACTGCCCACTCTTCCAATGCACTACCCTTCCCCTATCGACCCGTGCTCATCACAGGCGTGGCGGCAAGGTGACCCCGCGGAATCCCATAATGATGCGCCCTCGCCCCAGCCTGCCGCACCTCGCACTAGCCCTGGCCTTGGCCCTGGCCCCAAGTGGCGAGAGAGGGAGCGCCGCGGTCAACAATGGGATGGGCCCAAAGAGAGGCTCTTGGCGACGCGACGTTATTGTACCGATTAGTGATGTTCCCCCAAAGCCAGGCTCCTTTGTCCCGCCCAAGTCTCCACACACACACAGGACCAATACATGACAAAGACTAGTGTTTGTCCCAATACAACCCGAGGTCGCCACAACTTGTGTGCCCAGTCGCTTCGCTAGTAGTTGAGCCAATCCCATACAAGACTCAACCTTTGAGTCAGTCCCATCCCTCCTCGTTCCCTCGTACTTCACTCCCACACTTGCCCATTACCACCGAACATCATCCTAATAAGGAGGGCCGGGCGAGAAGCGAAACAAGATAGAGTGGGGACCGAGGGGTGGGCCTAAATAGCCTCCCCGCTCGCGCCCGCCAAAGCCCGTCACTCCCAAGGGCGCCAAAATCCCCTGGCCCTCCTTGAACGCGACGAACCGGCCACTGACCCAAGGTACAGGGGGACAGAAACCCCAGGGGCCGCCAAAACAACCGTACTTAAGTGGCGCTGACCCAACCGGGGCCAGCGCGCCCGCCCCTCGTCGCCCTGGGCGGAACCCCATTAACAAGATAGGTAATCCCATTTCCCTGCTGCTCCTATCCACCCCCCCGGCCCCGATTACCACTCCCTTCGCTCCCTGCCACTCCCTGGGCCCCAATTACCGATCCATCCACTCCTTACCACCACCCGGGCCCCAATTTCTGCTAATTTATGGTTATTTTACGGACGGTAGCACGGACTGCTAAACAAGGGATGGTGGGGCTGAGCTCTACTCACAATAGTTGGAAGAACGGAGCAGCATCACTGTGCACACCCACAATCCCAACGTCTTGGCGCCTTAAGGTGCATCCCAATACGACCCGATGGGTGGAAGGGATATGATTTGTAGCGTTACAATGCATGCAGGCACTGTGTATTGTGCCGCGTTCTTTTGGCATTTCATGTCAACTCCTTGTTGGCAAGCCAACCTGACCAAAGCATTTCTCTCTGAACAACGCAACGTACTTGCATGGAAACTCAGGCTTACCCCAAACAAATATGAATGTGATGGAAGCAATTCTGAGAAACTAAATTAAGCAATTCCAGCAAACTGCTACCTCCGTCTCCAAAGTATGTCCGAATTTGTTTCTTACAATAGTTTTTTAACATGAACTCAGCTAGTCAATCTGACACCAGATTCGGATTCCTTGGTCGATTTCTGATGGATGTGCATTCCCATCACACGCAATCAGCACAATAAATCAAGAAATCCAGGGCATTTTGAAAAGCGCCCCTATCCACTATTGCACACTCCCTAAGTTCCCCATGTTGTTGAATCCTCACATGTTCTATCGTGTACCCATTTCTTCCAAACTCCTCAAGCACTTTGTTGTACCCAACAAACAAGCATTGCCGCACCAGCTCCAGGGATTCTGCATCGTATTGTTCATATGCTCCCTCAACAACTCCTGCCATCTCGTCCACATTGCTGAATCGCATCTCAAGAAACCTTGTTTCAACGATCTCAGTCGCCCAAAGTCGTTGGTGTTCAAATTAGGGGACTGTGCTAGGTGGGTAATCAGGCCGATCAACCAGCCCTCTACATGCCCAGCTTCCTGAAGGGCTTCCAAGTTTCTTTTTCCTATGTGGGGCATAGCCCCATCCTGTTGAACCAACATTTGCCTGTTTTGCATCCATGGCATCGTTGTCTTGATTGCCAGCAAGGGTTTCTCCACATGCCACTTGTCATACCAAGCGGAGTCTATAGTTGTGTCCACTTGGTATATGTCCCCATTTTGTTGGTTCCTACTGGCTTTTTCTGCCACCTTCTCTTTGGACACGTGCCAAATTCCAATCTCTCCATCTAATTGATGGGCCAGATCTGGCCTAGCGTTTGTAACAGTGAACATTGCTTTTGGAATATAGTTCTTGTGTTGGACTGTGGCAACATGATCCACTACTTCGTCGGGGCAATAGCGTGTATGATCGCCATCCACCATAAAATGAAACCGAAGTTTCATCCACACGAATTGAATTCAGCGCAGAATTGTACACCATCTTTCTCTCGTTGGCCTGTTTCACCACAAACGATAATATGGCCTACATCTGGTCCGGATTCAGTGACGTTCTGATCCACCGCCGTTTGCACACCGCCCCCATCGCTTTAAGCCACTTACAAACCTAAGCTTTGCTTACCTCAACGCCAGAATTCTCAATTTTGCAAGTAATCTGCCTCACTGGCCCCTGGCGATTCCGCTTGTTCACCTCCACCAATGTTGATTCCTTGGTCAGCGTCAGGAAGGAAGGGTGTCTGGGCCTTGGCTCGTCTCCAAGACCAATGCTATTGCACCAACCCAGCTGTTCCGTTGCTCCAGATCACCACCTCCTCACGGCCGTTATTGGAACTCCAGCTCCAACTCAGTTGGGCAGTGTGGCCTTGGCGTTGAGGGAATTCGAGGGGGCGCGCAAGCACTTCCGTCGCGTTTGGAGGCCTGCGTCGACATTGATGACCGGCATTCTCAATCGGCGACCTATCACTGCTTGGGCAGTGTGGCCTTGGCGTTGAGGGTATTCGAGGAGGCACGCCAGAACTCCCGTCGCGCTTTGGAGATCTACATCGACTTTGAGATCACTCTTCTCTAACGATTGTGCATCGTCCATTGGAAAACCCACTGTTGAAATCTGGTGAAAAGAGGTCTTCTTGAGGACGTTGTATCAGCTTATCTGTTGTGGTGTGCGCAACTATCACCCTTTTGATTTGAGACGTTGGCCGTTGCACCGGTTGTCTGATTTTCTGATTGGGCAAGGATATTATAGAAAGAGTCCTTTCTCGATACAGAGGAATGACAAAGAGTCTTGGCTACAGCATTTCCAATGCCAGGAAGCGCAGGCTCACGTGGCCGCGGCAATTGCTTTACTCACCGTTGACTGTTGCAGACTTTGTTGGGCAGTCCGTGTGCGCACCGCCATTTGGGATTGCATGAGAATCCTACTGCGGAGAGGGATTGCCCCTGTCTGCAGTCTCCTAGGATGGGGCCTTTCTGTGGAAATGCAGCTGCGCAAGGTCGCACCCCCATGACGCTGTGCAGACTGGTGTATTGTGCAAATGTTGACCCACATTGCTAAAGTACTGTTCCAGTGGGTGATCCTTTGCACGCAGCACACCCGACATGGGAGTAGCTCCTGACTGACTGTTTCGTGAGTACTTGGCGGCTCGTTGCCTCTGGAGCAAGACGTCTCGATCTGCTCGCCGGTCCACCTCACACAACACACAAACAGCCCAGGCGCCAGGCCACCACGCTGCCTTGCATTTGCAATTCTTCGTCTTCGGTGGCAGCCAACCCACGGTGGGGGTGTGTGCAAGCGAAAACCGCCAGCTCACAGTCAGGCCCTGACTGGACTTGGCTGGGTCCTGACTGGGTGCCGTACGCAAGTCGTGCAAAGTACAAACAACGCATAAAATTTAAGGAAACTAACAAAAAGGGGCCATCTGCGAGATATCGCGACAAAAAACAGGGGCCCCCGAGCGCACCCCATACATATACATAAGTATTGTGTACATATACAGTAGTGTTGTGTACATATACAGTAGTGTTGGTCTGCCACCGGTCCAGCGCTAGTGCGCAGCGCAGTCCTACTTGGTGCAACCC